CCTTAGTTATGATGTCTGAAAACATTTTACTTCCTTGACACGTTATAGATATGTTTAAAGAGGTACTTTAAAAATTATCCTGCATTGGGACCAGCAGTTAGCGTAATGGCTATGTTGCTGGACTCCCATGTAGTCGACCATGGTTCGAGTCCCGGACCCGGTGGCTTAAACTCATACCGGGTGCATGTGCGTGCGTGCCCAAGATCCCAAGAGTAGAATGGAGGAGAAGGGATTGCGGTGTGGCCATCCCCTCTGGGGGGGGATTTCTCGCTTTCTATCTCTCTGTCTCTCTGTCCTTTTGGCGAACGCATACGCCCAATAAGAAAAAAACTCTCCAAAAAAATTATCCTGCATTTACATTGTTGTTAGCAGAAAGTTCTCAGAGTCTTGAATTGACCACAGGAAACAGAAGTTCCAGGATCTATTTTTCAGAAAGGATGTTCCCTAGTGTCCTATCTCCTGGATACTGACACAATTTTTGGCATATCTTTGGATTATGTTCATAATTTTCATTGTTACTACTTTTCATTTATTCTATTAGTTACCAGACGTGAAGTTAAACATTTCTTGGGAATTTGGATAACTGCCTTATGTTGATAACACATTTGAGGTCTGCTGGGATATAGTGTTATATCAAAATACAATATTAGCGCTGTGGAAATGTGGAAGGAAAAATTAGCCTGGGAATATATAGGATGAGCCTGGAGTACCTTGTAGTGACGGAAAGTACGGAAAAGCTCAGAAAGAAAAAAAGGAAAACTCACAGTGGGGTGGGCATAGTAAAGGGACACGGGAACCAACTGAAAAAGCTCCCAGTGGTCAAGCAAGAGCAAGAGAGCAAATAATTATAATCCAAAGTGTAAAATAACACCCATGCATCCATACTGATACAAAGAAATGTCTGAATAAATAAATGGGAAAAATAGACAAAATAATTCTAAATAATTTAAGTAGATACTCTTTCTTTCAGAAAAAGCATAACTACCCACAGTCTTTAAGTGTGATCTATACATACTGACTTCTTTCTTTTTTAGTTTTGCTACAGGGCACATACCAGAGAGAGAGAAAGAAAGAGAGAGAGACAGAGAGAAAGAAGGAAAGTGAGAAATAACTCCCCCACACCCAAGAG